TATTACAACAAAATTTCTCAAAAATGCAATTCATTTCCCAGGTTCATCTTTGCAACAATTAACTACAAATTATATGATAGTTTCCCGAGATTTGATGCAACTTCATGCTAAACAAAAGGTTACTGTCTAAGGATTAGCTGACCGATATTCCAACCTTGCGAAATGGGATCTTCACTTGGTTAGGATTGACCCCAGGGCAAATGTTAACCTCAATCCATGCATTATCACCCATGCACCAGACCAGAAGCTTCTATGTGAAAAAACTTTATAACAACAAATGAATCTTCTATTAAATCAACACTAAAACTTCCCTAACAACTTCTTAGTTCTGGTGACACTTCAAGCATCAAGTCTGACTCCATAGTACCAGATGCCAATACTATCCTTGATAACTCCGTTAGTACCTGTTTCTATTTTTCACCTAAAATTTCCATATGTTGCCACTAATTTTCTACACATTCCATATTTCCGCTTTGATATTCCACATGATATTGATATAACTTAATATCACTTCTAAAGTTGCAATACACACGAAACATACAATCACTTAATAGGATTTGGATTCCAAATCAGAAAGTATTGAAACTAAACTAAAAATCTAGGAAACCATAACAAGGACTAAGTCACAGCACATTGAAAAAAAATTTGGAAAATTACAGAGTACACCCGTGTCTCTTAAAACATAACTAAATCAGCAAGAAAAATTAAAATAGAACTAATAGCAACTCAATTAGCCAATGGAAGCTTCCAATCAGGTCCAAATGTGGGGGAGTTGTCACACATTATGTCAAAAGATACACATTGTGGTTTGTTACCTGGTCAGCAACTACTTCAACCAGTTCCAACTCATGGACATGCCATTGCCTTGCACTATCAGAGGGAAGCATCAAGACCATCAAAGCATAGCGTTTCGTTGAGAGCTCTGGCCAGTCATTAATTTGGAAGTTAGAGAGATGGAGGAGCGGGACACGAACAGCAACAACCTCCCCTGGCATGTGCTTTCCTGCAAGTGGCCTCATTCTTGCCACTGGAGAATTAGGAGATATTTTTAAAGCGCGGTTGCTACTAAATACTTGATTGATCACAGGAAGATGAATGGGTACAGTATATCCTACTGGATTCTGCTGACGGAGTGTATAGGATAGTTGAAGCTCTAAGCCAGTACGTGTCGGCATCCACAAGGCACACTCTTCCAATGCCAAAGTTCTACCTAATTCGACAAGTGTGGTTTTAAGTATAGTATGCCTATCAAGAGTGCTTCTGATCTCATGGGTTAGCATCCTGACATGTCGACCAGTTTCCTCCTGTGTACGAATAAGACCCATTTCTCTATCGAGCTCTGCAGCCTTGTTCTTCAAGAATAGTTCTCTAGTTTTAACACTCAATAAATCAGGAATAATATGTACAAGCATGAGGGCAGTTGCACATGACACCACAGCAGTTAAAACCTTTGCAGTGGTCATTACTATGGCCACAGTTCTTGAATGCATGCTGAAAGTCCATAAGTTGATAAGATGCGTAGCTCCGCACAATACAATGAAAGCACCAAACTGAACAAGGACCCATCTGTATGGAAACACTGCGGATTTCTTGACAAAGTAGATCAACTCCAGAGGGATGGAGAAATAAGCAAGTGCAATAAAGAAATCCGAGATGTACTGATACTTCATCAGCAATTCATCAGCTGGCCATTGTGGCTCAATACAATTGCATGCTTCCATGATAATTGAGCCACTTAAGTTGATATTACTTGGTTTCCTACATTACGAAAACATGTTAGAGCATCAAATAAAAACATAAATAAGCATAAAAATAAAAAATAAACGAACAAAGAAGAAATTCCATTAAAAAACTAAGCACACAATATTACTGATTACTGAAAAAAAAAATTACAACAATGACCAAGCACATTATAGTCCTATGAGGTTCTACTGTGGCAACAAAGCACCAACTAATATTGCTCATAACCTAGTGCAGCATGACCAAGCACATTGAGGTAGACAAACACTTTACCAATTCACCAAAAAAAAAAAAACTTTAGCAACCCATCGGATATTGGCTAAATATGTCAAAATCAACACATCGGGTGGAAATATAGGATGAACAAATAATAAAAAAAACTCCACAATTTCAGGAATTTAATCTGAAATTCACCAAAATTGAACTTGAAGAAGAGAAAGAACAAGAAATCCCTCAAACCAAACCCTAATCAGAGTTGTAAATTCTTAAAACCTAACCCTAAATTACCCAAATTTTAAGCTAAACCCAGCGAATTAACATCTAAACATAACAATCAAAGGAATCAAACATAACAGAGCACTCATAACTCAGTGGAAAAAAATAAAAACTGTAGAGCTGAATCACCTCCTTCACTTTCTTCAAACCCTTTTCAGCCACCCTATGTCGTTGAAGCATCTCTACCAAACTATCCATTCAACACAGATCGGCA